CCCATATCTCCTCTCTTCCAAACTAAACATACTCAGTTCCTTCAGCTTGTATTCCATTCCTTCGAACATCTTCCTCACTCATCTCTACATCCTTTCTATACATTGACATCCAAACTTGGACACCGTACTCCAGCTGAGGCATAACCAGAATTGAGAAGAGTGGTACTAAAACCTCCAGGACTTGCATGCTATGCCTCTGTTAATGCAACTAAAATTGCATTTGCTAACTTATGTTGAGGCTGTGATCCACTACAACTCCTAGATCCTTCTCAGCAGTGGTGCTGCTAAGTCATTTCCCCCCATTCTGCATGGATATGGCAACTACTCTGGTAGTAGCTGTGATTGCTAACCACGGGTTGCCCTTGTTAGTGATGTAAACTAAAACATGGTGATTCTTTCTTTAATCGAGTCATCCCGAAGGTGAAGATGGGGGGGCCCCTAGCTATATAACTGATTCAGGTAGTCCTTTTCTTTCTAGCTGTGTTCAGTAGGACATCCCGGAGTATGCTGCATTATATGGTGCTTGTGCCCTTCTGTATGCTTGTCTCTGGAGCACTCCGTCCTTTGTGGAGGTACTGTGGGTTAACTGCTCAGTTTTTTCCCAAAATGCACTGGCAGTATGGCAAGTGAGGATGCACAAAGATAATGTGGTTGTTGTGAAAAAATGAGTTGCTGAATAGATGGTTTTTCTCTCTCTCTCAGGGTTAATGAGTTGTTTTAATAAATGGGTAATCGATTGTTAGTTCAGCCGGTCAATAAGCTACATATAGCCATCTATGACCCCCTCTATTGGTGCATAACCACCTATAACAAACTACTTAAGTCTATAATATGCTTATAACATCTCTTAATGATTTATTAGCCCTTTATAAAGCATTTTTAAATGGGATCTTAGGGCTTGTCTACACTACAGTGCAGCAGCGGCTTTTAAGCACCACTGTAGCAATGAGTGAAGATACTACCTATGCCAACCAGAGAGCTTCTCCCATCGGCATAGGTACTTCACCTTCCCAAGGGCAGGTAGCTGTGTCATTGGCAGAAGCCCTCTTAGCCAACATTGTGCTGTCTACACCAGCAGTTAGGTTGGGATAACAGTGTCGCTCAGGGGGTGGGAATTTTCCACACCCTGAGCAATGCAGTTTTACCAACATACATTGGTAGTGTAGACCAAGCCTATATATCAAGAGTGACTCAATATTATTTTTAAACATCCTTTACCATTGAAGTCAATGGGAGCTTTGCCGTCAACTTCAATGAGTAGAGAATCAGGCCCACAGTATACAAGAGGCCATAAGGGCCTACTTTTGCTTATGAAGTACATGGGGAGTGGCTTGTCTGGGAGGGAGGAGACGAGAAGTTTTATAGGAAAAGCAATTAAAATATCCTTGCAAGCTATTCTTCTGAAAAACATGTTTATATACAAACTTTCTGGAAATCTTGGTGCCTTCTAATTAGTTGTATATCTGCATTCTAGCACTTCCTGGTAGCTCAACTGCAGTGAGTGGTTTGTTAGAATTTCCACTTTGGGAGGGCTGGGTAGGAATTTAATGCTTTCTGTTTAAATTGCATTGAGTTAACACTTGAAACACCACTCAAGTCTACTTTTTTCTTTTCAAATCAGCTCTGCTAGAAGAGAGAGAGAAAAAAGTATTAAATTATCTGGGCTTTAACTTGCACTGCTAACATTTTATTCCTACTTAGCAAGCACCTATTGTAGTCCTTAAAATATACCAATTACTTTTGTTTCAGAAAGTTAGTTAATGGCCCATATCTTAATTTGCATTCAGATGTTTCATATCATTTTTCCTACCCGTCAGTGTTCTATTAAAACTTTGTTGAGTAAAGTAACCTAAAAGTGCTTCTGCTTTTGATTGTTTCCTATTGTGGGTGTTTGAGTGCCCTGGAGTGGTATCTTAGAATAAATGTTCTCAGGTTGTATGGTCTTGATTTATTTGTTTTTCTTTTTAAATCCAAAACAGAATTGAAAATAAATACTATTATCAGTGCTGTTTAAAAAACAAAACAAGAACCTGACACTAGCTACCTATTGAAACAATATAAAATATTTATATCTTGCTTTCCACAGTCCTATGGAAATCTGTGCCTTCACTTGTATTCATACAGTTGAACTACTGTTGAAATCCACAGATAGATACTATATGTGGTATTACATCTAGTGCTATATATATAAAAGACATGCCTGGTGGAGACAGCTTAGAATTAAAGTACATGCTCTAACTCTGTGCTCTTGCAATATTTTTGTTCGTGCTATATAAATTCTCCATTGTAATAAACAGTGTGCTTACAAGATTGATTCTAAGTGGGTGTGACATGGGGTCACGGGGATCCCAGAAATCTTAACAGAAACTACAAGACTCAAAATATGCTACAGTAACCCATTATTAGTAACAGAAACAACATACACATAATTAAAAAGGGAGGGAGGGCAGGATGGGAACCATGCTTCAGAGCTGGTTTCTTGAAGAAGGCCTAAGTCAGTTTAACTCTTACCGCGCCTACTCTGAGTTTCAATTGGATTAAGTTCCACCCCAGTAACACTCTACTTCTATATCTGGGAGAGTTTCTATCATGCACTACTCCAAAAGGGTATGTATTCCTTGTCAGTTGACCTGTTTTTATAGCCTAGAGGCCCTAACCAAGTTCAGGTCCCCTTTGTGCTGGGCAATATACATACACCTAGTAAAAGACAGATTCTGTTCCAAAGGCCTTACAGTTTACATTGACAAGATGGAAGAATGACTTAACATGGGGAAGGTAGAATAGGAAAGGACAAATGTTTTGAAGGACAAAGAAATGGGAAGGAGAGGGAAAGAAATGGTGATTACTGCAACGTGGTCAGGGGAAAAACGATATGGGGTAGTAATGCAAGTAATGTGCCCACTGCAAGTAATATGCAGCTATAGTTAATATAACATTGTTCTTAAATGGTGGGTCAGACCAAGCAAATTAGGTGCCTATAAAGTGTGGTGGGCAACTTGCACTCCAAACACTGTGAGTGTGTGTGTGTGTACACGCATCTCTTTATACTCCTCCACAACAATGGGCTTAATTTAGGACAAACAGCAATTAGAGACCCATGCAATGGGACTTCTAGCTGCTGTACATCGACACAACAGGATCACATAAGGATGGTGGCCGCTTTAACTGCCTTTCTTTTAGCAGCTTTAAGATGGAGACTTCATTTTGTTATTTTTTTTTCTTATTTTATAATTTGCATTTAGCACACTGCTTGAATGGGCTTGCATTCTTAGATTTGACATTTAGACTCATTCTGTCTTAAAATATCTCAGACTATGTGTACGGTTGAACTGCTACAGCTGCACCACTGTGGTGCTTCAATGTAAACACTACAGTGGCAGGAGGGTTTCTCCCATCACTGTAGTTAATTCGCCTTCCCGAGAGGTGCTCACTAGGTTGACGGAAGAATTCTTCCCTCAGCTAGCACTCTCTCCACTGGGGGTTAGGTCGGCTTGACTGTCTCCCAGGCGTATGGATTTTTCACTCCCCGGAGAGACATAGCTATGCAGATATAACTTCTCAGTGTAGACCACTCTCAGCCTGCCACCTCGTTATTTTTAAATAGAGCAATTCCCATTTTAAGAATGCTTATGTTCTACTGCAGTGTTTCCCAAACTTGGGACGCCGCTTGTGAAGGGAAAGCCCCTGGCAGGCCGGGCCGATTTGTTTACCTGCCGCGTCCGCAGGTCCAGCCGATCGCGGCTCCCACTGGCCGCGGTTCGCTGCTCCAGGCCAATGGGAGCTGCTGGAAGCGGCAGCCAGTACATCCCTCGGCCCACGCTGCTTCCAGCAGCTCCCATTGGCCTGGAGCAGCGAACCGTGGCCAGTGGGAGCCGC